CAAAAAGAAACCTCTCTTAATTCATGTGAATACAAGAATGAAAATATGAATTACTGTAAATTTCTAAGTGTTGTTATTCATCGTCCCAGTGAGGATGTCTTATCACAGACAGTCTCAGATCATGTGCAGGTCTGTTCAATAACATGAAGTCAATAAGAAAGGGCGTCTTTAATCTGGTTAAAAATGTCTTAAAATCTAATTTAGAGAAAATGGTGTGAAGTTGCCCCATGAATGGTCTGCCAAAGACCGTCTGTGGTTGAGGAATTAGATCACATATCCACATAATATATATGTGTAGTCGTCCTCAGATGTATTTATACCCTCCCATTAAAGAAGAAAAAAAACAAAACAACGGTCACTGAAATAAGTTGAAATTGACAAAAGTAATTAAAAAATATATATATATATTGAAAATCATGACATTGCTTTTGAATTGTGGTTCAGCAGAAGTATTTAAAAAATAAAATTTAAAAAAAACATAAACTAATATTTTGTTGAACAACCCTTTGAGCCAATCACTGCCATCAAGTGTTTTCTGTGACTCTCAGTCAGACGTCTGCACCTGTTGACAGGTGTTTAGATTTCACTGCTCATCAGCAAAGTGCTCTAATTTGTATGGGACAGTTTTTTGTTTTTTTTAATTATTCTTTTCAACCACAACTCCAAAGCAATGTCTTATTTCACTAAATTATTATTTAGTAATTTTTTTTTATTTATTATTACTTTTTTCAGTTTCTAGTTATTTAAGTGACTTTTGTGAATTTTGCCTTTTCTTTAATGGAAGGATATGAATACATTTGAGGACGACTGTATAGCGCCTAAATTACTCTCTACTTGTCTTCTTCATGAACTTCCAGAACTGACTACGAGCTCCACACAATCCCAGATACGCTCACTGATATGTGCACTATGACACAAAGCAGGAGCACTTTTGGAGCATGTGTCCGTGGCAATAAATATATTAGCATTAGCAAGCAGGCTCGCTTGCTTCTCTCTGTCAGTTCGGTGTCAGAGTGCAGGAAGCTCCGGCTGTGTGCTGGACTGAGGTCAGTACATCTGAGAGCTGCGCTGAGCTCTGGTCTGATAACACGAGAGTCTGTTTGAGAGACAAACTTCGACAGAGAGCGGAGAAAGAAAACTGTGAGGCCACGAATGCTCCGTAGCTTCAAACATGTAACTCGGTTACTCTCAGAGCCGTGAGGGGGTGAAGCTGAATAACAGAACGACTTACGAAGGAAAGAAAATGAGAAATAAATTTAGATGGTGTGATGAATGCAAATGTAACACAGTTAAACTACTCAAGTAGGAGGATCTGCTGCATTAAAGCTGCTCCAAATAATGTTCATACTTGAGGTACGTTTCTCCAATTCTTGCGCCATTCCTACCGACATACTGCTAATTTGATTTAATGATTCAGTTAAATATTAATGCCATAATGTATGATCAGCTGCATCACCACTAATGCACCCTGCCACACTCACCACTGCGACCTCTATAAACCGGTGAGGTGTCCCTCCCTTCATACTCGGCGGCTTCATTTCATTTACAAATCAATTCTGGCCAAGACACCTCCCTACCTGTCCTCTCTTCTTCAAGTCGCCCATAATTATTATCATACTAGGTCTAGTGAATACATCCAGCTCATCATCCCCAATACCTCGACTATTTTTAGCCGTAACTCCTTTGCAGCAGCTAACGACTGGGACACCTGACAAAATACCCTCAAACTTGTAACTCTGACTCCACAATCCAACAGACTGTAGTTGACTGTTGCTCCTGTTGATCACACCAGATTTTACTTACATACTTGTATATATACACATACATTCTTCCACCTCATGCACATCGTTTTTCACTCACATGCATGTGCTCCCATGCTTCTTACGTGTTTAATTTTGTTCTATGTTGTGTTTATGTGTCTGTTTGTGTCTGTAATTGACATGTGTGTTTGTTCCTGCTGGTGCCTTTTGGTCAGCTCATGTTTACAAATGAGAACTGGTTCTCAAACAGTTTTACCTGATTAAAAAAAAAAGGTCCAATAAAAATAAAATAAACATTATGGACGCTTGTTTGTTCATATTTCTGCTGCAGAGCTTGAACGTTGCGTAAAAAATCTATTAAAAAAATCAGGTCAATGCAGCTATAAAGTCCTTTTTTTCTTTTCTTTCTCCATTAAAACAACACGGTGACTGCGATGGTAGAATGAAGCATCAGATCTTTTACAATTTTGGAGGAAAATGGAGCGATAAAGGTCGAGAAACACAAATAGAGGAATGAACTAATCACTGGTTTGATGTCGGTGACCTGCAGATTCACACATCGCAGCTCTCGATAAGTAAAACATTCCTCCTCTTCAAAAATATATCTCAGAAGATGATTTATCAGTTTGACCTGCGTTAATAAGAAGCGCTTTACAGTCCGCAACTGTATTCATATTAGCCCAGACAGTAAACAGCATTTCAACAAACAAGTGAGTGAATCATCTGAGTTTTTGCTCTTCAGCGGAGAAACACTGTCGCTGCAGCAACGTCAGGTGAGAAAGAGCGGTTCTGTTCAGACACTGAGAGTTTGGTACCATTGACTGGATTTACTGAAGAGAGTCTACCAACATTAGTCTCTGCAAAGATGAGAATAACAGCTGTAACCATGGTAACCATACACAAAGATGACAATAGCTGTTGTCTCAAGATGCTTTGGTGTTAAATTAATCGTAGCAACTGGACTTGCTTGAGTTCCTTGAAGACGTTCCACCTCTCATCCAAGAGGCTTCATCAGTTCTGACTGACTAGTTGGGAGTCCCACATATCCTTAAGGAGCCATTAACACCTGAGTTTCAGTTTCAATTGGGGGTTTGTTGCTCCTCCCCCTCGTTATGTGAGCCGTCAGTGCTCCACCTGCCACAGTGGGGTTCGTTAGGGTCTTTTGTGACTCGGTGTGAAAGTGGTCACATACACTCTCCTCTTGGATGGTGAAACGTCTTCAAGGAACTCAAGCGAGTCCAGTTGTTATGATTAATCTACCAGAATAACCTGGATGGCTGAGAATCCTCACAGACATCTTAGGTATTAAAGTTCTCAAAATAAACAACTTTTTTGAAATTAAAAATGTCACCGGTTGATTCACCACTCGCACTTTACTTGTTTGTGGCTTTTGGTGGGATTTGTATGACACTAAAAACTCAAAAACTCCAACTAAAGGTCACCAAGTGTCTCTGTGACTGGAACACAAGCATCACCGACAGCAGAGCACTGATAAGGAGAATAAGAACTGTGAATGGTTGCTAATATACATATATATAGATGAAATGTCCCTGTTTACCTGGGCGCTGCTGCTTCAACCACACCAGCCGGTGGGATCTGAAAATAAATAAATGAATGTAGTTAGAATTGTGACACAGATTTGGTTGCGAGGCCTCCACAAGCTGGGAGGAAGTAAATGCATGAATGATTCTGATGTCTACTTACAGGGAACATCCGATATGTCTGGTCATCGTACACGATAACGGCGTTGACCCCCGCACGATCACTTTGGCACTGAACCTAAGATGGGATGAACAAACACAGATTTCTACACATCGTCTGTGTCAGAGATGTGACATGTATGTAACCGTGTCAAGAAACTGAGACAAAAGATAATAAAATATATTTGATGGAACACAAATGATGACGGTCAGAATAAACCAGTTTACTCACTGGACGACTCAGCTGAGCCTGAAAGAGAAAGAAGAGAAAATTTGTCAGATTAATGTGCTCATATTACATCTAAACTTATACTGTGAACAGTATAGTGAACGATTCCTGAGATTGTAATGGAAACCCAAAACTTTACATTGATGTGAACTGTTACATGTTTTCATTTGGGATCATTTAGAATTAGAATATAAAGGGACAGCATCATAGGATATTTTCACATGGGGCCATAATATTTTGAAGTGTTGTAGAAAAGAGACATGGAGTACACGTCTCATTTGACTAAGTTAGCAAAGTGAGGAGTTAAATTTAGCTTTGACAACAAAATGAATTTATCCTCAGATGGGAAATGCAGTCTATAATCCTACATACTTCAGTATTTTGCATGTACAGCAGGTTGTGACGCATGTAAAAAAATGCAACAATGAAAGTGAAACTAGAAGTTGGATAAAAAGTCTTAAAATGCAGTTATTTGTACAGTTACAGTGTCATTAGATTCTGTAACTATTAACTGTAAGACAGTTTTCTTGGTTTTTTTTGTCCTAAAATGTAGGTTACATCGACTTGTAATGGTCGCCTTCCTAAAATGGAACGCGACCAAATGGCATGGCGCTACGGTAAAACAGGCCGCGCAAGAATAACATTCCATATAAAGATCACAAACCTACAGTAGCAGTGGAAAACCCTGTGCAGTCAGTTCGAGAACTGCATTTTTACGTTCATACCTGTTCATATGTGAGAACAATGCATGTGGAATGTGGTTTTAAAAGCTCGCTGCCTTCGAGGCTCGTTGGCCGACTCATCCATATGCACAAACAGTTGCTAATAAACACCAGTTAACATTGATATTTTAAATGTGATCAAATAATAATAATAATAACAAAATTAACATAAAATTTTTCTTACCATTTCTGGTTTTCAGTAGTTTTTAGTCCAGACCTGATTTTGGCTTTACTTAGGCTAGGTTAGCTTAGCTTAGCTTCCTTACTTCCTCAGTTCTCGCCTGCCTAAACGCTATGACGTGATTGTTTGCGGACAAATTACAAGATAGGCCAACCTCCCTCTTTGTCATGGCTTCATTTTCTGCTCTTTTTTTTCTTTCTTTTATTTATTTTTTTACAGTACATTAGAATTTTATGTTTTCTTAATTAATTGACACCTTACAAAATTATAGATTATCACGATAATGTTAAAAGTTTTACATTTTCTTTTTTTTTTTTTAAATGACTTAAGTTTACCGATGAATATATTACCAGCTCACCTCGGAAGTTGATTCTGTTTTCTTGTTCCCAGGTTGTTTTTGATGATGATCTGGGAATCCAAACCTCCATGAATCCCTGCGGTTTTTATCTCCACATCTTCACCCTTATGTTGTAACAAGGGGGCTGATTAACATCAGCTGACCAAAAACTGTTTTCCCGCTTCTTTCACACGGGGTGGAACAACATACCCATGTATGAATACCACTAGTGGCCCCTATTTTCTAATTAAAACACATCTTTTCTTCCACGTCAGCCAGTGTGGTTTTCACTGCAGTTCTATCAGTTCACTCAGTCCTTAGAAGCATTGTTACATTCCACATGACTTCACCGAAGAACTGAATTTGCCAACTTGAACTGGACACAGATCTGTAGGGAGGCTCCAGTCGTCCATTCATCTGGTTCCATCAGAAAAAGAAGAAAACAGTGGAGGAAAGATGAGAAAACGGGTGTGTTAAGTTGTAATCTATACACTTAAGATCCTTCAGCTGTTTTTTTTTATTGATCTATTGAGACATAAACATCTTTTAAGATACCAAATGGTCACCAGAAGAATGATTCTTGATGCCACTTTAGATAAATTCCACTACAGGTGACAGTTTAAACCTACAGTAGTTCATTGTATAGTGGAGTGTGTGAACCTGTGTTCAAGCGACTTAAAGTGTCGGAGGAAATGTTTGGAATTAGTTTTGCCTCATTGTCACACGGGATCGTTCACTTTACAGCTAAACAACGAGAGACGAAATTGAACCAAAGTTGTGTCAATTAAATTCAAACTCTAAGTACCAATGATGTGTTTTCTTAAAGTTCCCTAAATGTTTTAGCATAATTTCATTCTTAAACGACTATACATTCGGTAAAAAGTCCTTGACAATTTGATTTGTTTTTATCGTAATATGAAGAATTAAAGGGATTTACCTTACAGAGCAATTCCATCGATACCTGTGAGCATCGGCAAACGTCTTCGGCTGAGACTCTGGCATTACTGGATTGCAAAGCGCTGGCATGCAGTTTTTCAACATGTCACACCACAAAGGTGGCATCTTGATGATGAAATACCTAAGTCAGGTTCTACTGCTTCTGCAAGCGGAACAGAACATAATCACCATCATCTCAAGTGTCAAAGCAGTCGGACAAGTTTGGTACATTACGTAGCTCTCTGGAGTTTTTGTGTTTTTACGGAGTTAAAAAGTCACCGACGAATGTCAGGAACTGTAAACATGCAGTAAAAAGAAGGGTATGTGGATGTAGGGTCAGATAAAGAAAGTTCTGATCGCTGACGTGCATCACCTTCTCATTAGTCATGACCCTCCCAGTGTTTTTGGAATGACCACGTTTATAAATAAACACATTGTCCTTCATTATCATATTATTAGTCATGTGTTACCAGCCCAGAAACACACAACAAAAGACCTGGAATCACATCAGTTACAATGAAAACACCTCAAACAAGAAGCTTTTCTCCACGATAGTCCTAAAGCTCCACTGGTCTGCACTCCCTAAAGGTTACAAATACGAAACATCAAATGATTTAGTCGTGTTTTGCCCTGAAATTAGTTTTCCATCTATTACTTTGGGTTATTCTGCTTCACTTTCACCTTTTCAGTGCCAATCATCTTTTACATTCCATTCAGTGGCGTAACAATTTGGCTGAAACTGTGGTCACACCTCATTCCACATGTGATCTGCTTTTGTCACATCACATTCATACACCTGTAATGATGTTTTTATAAGTTTATCAGCAGTTTATCAAATGATAATGTGAAAACCAAACCTAGAGATCATGTACGATGGGATAACACCAGCTGGGATGTCCATCAGCAGGCCGGTGTTCTCTCAGTAGTCATTAGTACATGAACACTCAGTCCAAAACACCCATCCTGAAAGTAAGCCGTCATCTTAACCACACACACGTAAAGCTTCATGACTGCCTCCTGCACAGCTGTGAAGTATAAAGTCAGACATGTAAACACCTCTCAGAGGGCTCAAAGCCTCCTTTTGTGGTAGTTCGGTAGTCGACAAGGCTGACATTGATCAACCAACAGAAAGTAAGCACTTGAACCTGGAGAAGAATCCTTTGCAGAGCTTTATAGAGAGTTTCAGCTTGTTGTTTAGCCGTCTAACCCTCAACTCTCCTGCTTAGTTCTGCTCTCATATTATTTGGCTGCTTTTAGAGCAAATTCTCTGAAATTCAACGAAAGTAGTCGATTTATTCATGTGCATATGGATTTTAAAGCACATCGAAGAAGCTTTTGCAGAACATGTCAGACCTGCACCTCATACTGCAGCAGTAAAGGAAAACAGTTCATACAAGGAGTGGGAGGAGCTTCTGGCAATTCTAATGGCTCTGCTTCAGGAAGTGTTTTGAATAAGTGTCAAAGAGGTGATGATGAATTCCTCAGCCATCCTCACCGCTCTCTGAAGGGACTTTTATCATTTTATTTTGCTAATATTATGGTCTGCCTCTCTGAGAGTTCTGCTCATTACCGCCCTGTAATGTAATGTGATTTTACAACATGTGTTCCTCACTGCTTTGAATCGCCTGTCAGCCACGTCTCCTGCAGAGGGATTGTACAGAGAAATATCTGATGCAATGTATGCAATGTGCAAGCAAAAGGTATACGCAGTTACATTTTGGAGTGTTATATTATTTTATAATGCTGAAATGAAGCAATAAAAGCAGGAAATATAAGTTGTACTGTAAATAAAAACCACATTAACATGAAAATGCAATAAGATAAATATATATCATAACAAATGATTGAATCAAGAGCAAAATGAAGAAGATATAATATTAATGCGCGCTGTGCAAGTCCTCACGAAACGCTCAGAAGACTGTTGTGCAACTGCTAACAGGTTTATTTATGAAAAGACAGGGTGAAGAGAAAATCAGATAATCATAAAATATGTATAGTCACTCTCAAATGTATTCATACCCTCCCATTAAAGAAGGAAGAAAAAAAAAAACAGCTGTCACCGAAATAAGTTGAAATTGACAAAAGTAATAATAAATAAACATTAAATGAAAATCAGGACATTGCTTTGAATTGTGGTTCAACAGAAATATAAAAAAAAAAAAAAAAAACAGATATTCTGATTTTGGCCCACTGCTCATCAGCAAAGTGCTCTAATTTATCCAGGACAGTTTTTTTAAATTTATTTTTTATTTGATTTTATTATTTTCAATCACAATTCAATAGCAATGTCTTTAATTTTGCAAATTTGTATTTATTATTACTTTTTTCAGTTTAAGTTATTTGAGTAACTATTGTGAATTTTGCCTTTTCTTTAATGGAAGGGTCTGAATACATTTGAGGACGACTTTATAAGATGTGGCAAAAAAAAAAAATCTGCTACAACAGAGAACATGTATTTTGAGCATATGCTTAAAAAAAAGATAAATCGTGTGACATATTATTATACAATTACACTTAACAACAATATAACTGCAGCATGTAAATGGTTTTACTTTCTGAGATAGAAGTCTCAGTTCTATTGTTGTGGCTAAATTCAGCCGACTGTGTACAAAAAGCTTTTGAGCTGTTCGACTGAGGTGAGCTGATTCATCCCATTTCGTAATGATCTGCTGTTTTTGCTGAGAACCCTCTATGAGCGAGCAGACGTGCCCTCAGTACAGAGTCTCTTCTTCATGGCCTCTCACAGTTTGGGATGGATCAGCCCTCACCTTTGACACCACATGAGGGGGTTGGACCTCCAGTACAGGATCTGGCGCTGTGTGCTGGTTCACAGGCCCAAAGACCTGCACATTTAAGGCTCTCCTGGGTGATCTGCTTTCCTGTGGCCCAGAGCTGCTGCCTCTGAGAAAAAAAACATGTCAGCAGATTTTGTGGGATTTACATGATGTTTGTGTGCAACTGTAAGTGTCCTCAGTCTCTCTGAGGTTTAAAGCAGCTTGTTGGAAGTTTGTCCGTCAGAAAAAAATCCCCCTAATGAAGCAGCGACATGACAGAGAAACTGAAAGAAAGATTTGGGCTGTAATTAATGTAATTATTATTAATGACATTGTAATGGGTGGGTTCAATGTGTAGTGGTTGGATCACTTTTCTAACAACAAACAGCATGATGGATAACTTTAGCACCGCACAGCTACGATCCAACTCCTTAAAAAAAACATCACAACTTCCTCATTCTGGGCTGTCATGTGACCACCACAACCAATCAGAACTGTGACAAGCACAGCCAGCTTCTTCTTTTTTTTTAAAACAACTTTATTTAACAAGTGGACATGTACAAACAGCATGGCGGAGGATCAAATAACAATGACAAAGGTGCATCTTAAAGAATTGTATAAGAAATGAAAAAAGCAAGAAGAATTACAAATGTACAAACAAAAAAGAAAAAGAACTCGGGCTTATTTTCTCAATCATAGTCTTTAATACTGCCTACTAACTCTAATGCAATTTCACTATCCAGCTTCTTAACAAACGCAACACGACTTCCTCATTCTGGCTGTCATGTGACCACCACAGCCAATCAGAACCATGACATGCTGAGACTGAGGTAACTGTGCAAGCTGTTGTCTTAAAGAGACAAACACAACTATTTAAACATGCAAACATGTAACGTACAATGTGATGTACAATTAAACACTGTAACGCTATTTAAACGTGTAAATAGTCACATTTTTAGTAAATGAACTGCATGAATTATGAGAAAAATACAAACTTGTGCATCTCACAATACTGTTAGTACTCGTGTGAAAGTTTTACCAAAACCATGTTCATAACTCCTAGACTGAAAAATTCTGGTCAGTGTCTTCTCCCCTTCTCTTACAGTGACACAGATATCACATCTTAGCTTCTAACCAGCCAGCTGAAGCCTTTGAAGCTCCTCTAAAGTCAAGTTCCCATGGTAACAGCCCAGGTCAAGCCGGACAAGCAGCAGCCTGAAGCTTAATTGACAGGTTTGTGACTTTGTTTTGATGTGACCGTGGAAGTGAAACCCGGGCCTTTCAGAATCACAGTATTATCAGCTGACAATGCAATAATAACATTAAAAAAACATCCTTCGCCACTGATCTCCCATGTGTCCTCTTCAAAGGCACGTTGCAGGCCTGTTGCATTTCCTCTCGCTCCTCTGATGACAGAGTGACCGCATCCTGGATTTGTGGGCAGCAGTGTTGCTGTATGCAATTAGGTTCAGTGTGTGGCCAACGCTGAAGCTTTATCTGCAATGTTCCACTGTTTTGCAACCTTTAAAAGTCGGTCTGTTAGGTTTTCAGACATCTATCTGTTGCCTATTTTAAAACGCAGCAGGATAGAGGCCATCTAGAAGTCATCATCACAGACCTTGTATGTCGGTGATCACACAAGAACTTGTAGTCTGCAGTAAGACGCACTGGTTCAGCTCCTTTTTTCTTTTTTGTTTAATCTTGTCATGTGTCTTCCTTGACAAATCTGGAATAATTGTGTTGGACCTCGTTTTCCAACGTTCTAGGAACGAACAAAGGATTGAATTTCCTTCAAAATATCCCTGAAATCCCGTCTTCAGCAAGAGAAAAATATCCTGCCATCCTTCCTACCAGCACCTCATTTCATGCTCGTTGTCTCAGGGTCAATAGGCCTCAATGCAGAATGAATCATGATGGTTTGTGCTACTTTCTACTTTGTATTTTTGCCCCTGATGTGGCAACAGCAGCTGGAACAGAAGCAGTGCTGGTGTTCTTTCAAAGTTCTTGTCTGACACCAGCCACAACGTTTTGTTCTTAAACGTCTGTGAGGATTTGCTGCGGACCCACCTTTAGCGGCGAGCTTCACCCAAGTGACCTAAAGTTTTCAGTCAAAATGCATTTTTAATTTTTGTTGGATGCGTGTGTTTGTGCTCCCGCTGTGTGTTCACATCTTCCTAATAGTAGTTGACAGTTTCAGAGGAAAGCAACAAACAAGAAAACAATGAGTTGTTATATAGAGGTGCAATTTATTTGTTTTCCAAGCATAGTTTGCATTGCAAGGACTTTTGGGTGTAGTAA